GCTCCTGCTCTGGACTTATATTGGGTTAAGTACTTAGGGGACCCAAAAGAGGATCACAGTTTTCTTGTACTCTGGCTCATTATGTCCTCCACATCAATGTTCTGGGGAAAATCCCTTAAATAAAGCTTACATACAGCTAGCGTCTAGAATCTCCTCTAAAATGAATTAACAGACTCTTTCTAGAAAAAGAGACACTCATTATATAAAGTAAATATAAAGTATAGGACAGCTATTTATTTCCTCCACCACAAAAGAAAGTCTTAAAACACAAGTTTTAACAAAGCTGTTGTCGTTCAGTAATTTTCAGCCATGTTTGACTCTTTGTGACCCCATTTGCAGTTTTCCATTTCCTTCTCCAATTCATTTTACAGATGAGGAAACTGAGGCAAACAGGGTCAAGTGCCTTGCCCAGAGTCACACAGCTAGTAAGTTTTTGAGGTTAGATTTGAAATCAGGAAGATGAGTCTTCCTGACTTTAATTTCAGCATTCTATCCGCTGTGCCACCTAGCTACCCCAAACACACAGTCACACATATTTAAAATACAAAACAATAACCTGACTCCTTTTATACTCTCCCAAATAGTAAAGGCATTCTGTGGAAGTACAAAATACACATTTCACTTTTCCCTCTTACCTGAGCTATCTTTAAAACTCACAAGTCTAGATCTCCCGGTAAGCCAGAGTATGGTTTGGGATTTCTCGGTCCTTTCTCCTGGCAGTAACATTGTCTCTTCCAAGAAGGAGTATAGTTTCAGGAAGCACTTTCTGCCGGACAGTCATCCCTGACTCAAGAAGCTCCTATTTCTCCAACTTACAGATTAATAACGAAGACTGGGAAACGTCCATCTTTTGGGATTCTTGTTTGGTCACCTGAACTCAGGCAAATATACATAAAGTAAGGCAGAAGAGGCAGACAGGGACTTGAGGTCCAGTCGTGGCAGTAGCAGCTCTCATATAGGTGACTTTAAGGTTTATAAAGTGCTTTACATATTGTCTGATTTTATTCTCACAACAACATAGGGAGGCAAGTGCCATGATAATCTCCATTTTACAGATGAGAAAACCGAGAATGAGAGAGATTGAGTGACTTGCCAAGCGTCACCTAGCCAATAAATGTCTAAGGCAGAGTTTGTATTTAGGTCTAACTGACCTCCCAAATTCTGCATCCTCTATGCTTTGTACCACTTTTCTGCCTAATCTGTTTAGCCTGGTCAATCTCAGCTTCACCTAGGTGAACATGTTCTCTTTTGGAGGCACATGTGCTCAAGTTGCACTGGGTCCTGGAAGGTGAAGAGAAAGAAATATCATCTTTCTCCTCCAGCTGGAATGCAAGGGAGAGCAGGTATTGACTATGGTTCAACAAAAGTGTTCACTTTCTTTTTTCTTTTAATTTAATATTTTATTTTTCCCCAATTACATGTGAAAACAATTAACAGTTGTTTTTTTTTTAATTTTTGAGTTTCAAATTCTCTCTCTCCCTCCTTTTTCCCCTCCCCCTGTCATTGGGAAGGCAAGCAATTTGAAATAGGTTATACATGTGCAGTCATGCAAAACATATTTCCATGTTAGTCATGTTGTGAAAGAAAACACAGATAGAAAAATAAAGAAAATAAAGAAAGAGTATGCTTCAACCTGCATTCAGACTCCATCTGTTCTTTCTCTGGAGACATAGCAATTTTCATCATAAGTCCTTTGGAATCACCTTAGATCATTGTATTGCTGAGAAGAGCTAAGTCATTTACACCTGATCATCATACAATGTTGCTGTTACTGTATACTATATTCTCCTGGTTCTGCTCATTTCACTTTACATCAATTCATGCGCATCTTTCCAGGTTTTTCTGAGAGCATCCTGCTCATCATTCCTTATGGAACAATAGTATTCCATCACAATTATATACAACAACTCATTCAGCCATTCAAAATAGTCACTTTCAAAGATATAGACACCATCTCTCTTAGTTCCTTAAAGCCCATAGAATTGGTAGTTCTTCTGGGCCAGATTGCCAATACTCTTTGACACAGACTCTAATCACAGGACCAATAAGGGATTAGTTTATTCCAAAAGTACAAGTCTGTAATCCTTAGCAAGAGGCCAATGGGAACACCTAGCTTCAGTATCCCTCTTACATAGAGAAGAGTATGTTATTATCAGCATCATTTGAGATCCTATTAGGCATAGAGTGATGGGCAGAACCTTTAACAGGACTCACTAGGATCCAGGGAAGAGGGATGTGGTTTTTGCCCACCGCAGATAACAGTTTATCATTCCTTCTCTTCTCTAATAGAGATGAGTGGATATGGAAATGGGCATGATACTGAATGCTGTACTCAGAGGAATTGGGTGCTAATCAATGCCTGGCAAGGCAGCAGATTGAATCACAGAAAGCTATACTAAAATGGATTGTGCCATTAGGGGCTGGTGGGGATAGCTGAAATGGTCCTCCTTGCCACAGCTAATTTCTCTTCCTGTGCCCTTAATCTCATCTCCAACTCCTTCAGAACCTTGCTTCATTAATCATTTCCCCCAACACTCATCTTCAATTTCTCTTTCCGCTATATCTACCAACAAACTTAGGCCTCCAGGATTTTTTTTCTTCAACTTGCTACCTACTTAAGATATCAACCTTTTCTCTTTCCTCTCGTTGACTGTTAAACTTCTAGAAAGAGTATCCTACCTTTTCTATCTCCACTTCCTTAATACTCATCAGAGCCATAACCAGGACTGGGTGACTGGTGCTTTGCTAGGCAATAAAATTAAGAGGGTGTTGAGAGTACAGTATACTCCTTCAAAAGGAAGAAACAACTGAGCTTAGGTGCTTGGTCAGTAAGAATAATTAGTTTAAATGGAAAGCTACTAGATAACTTATTTCCTTCCCCATCCCCCTAGGTGAGCTCCTTCCCAGCACAGTCTTCCCTGTTCTTGCCCCTCGTAGATGAACCACATGCAAGAAAAGTGTCCCAGGGTCTCAGTCTCCCCTCAATAGCACCTTGTGTCCTGAGGTCAGAGGTTTTGCTCCCAAATGAATTTGTCTTTAAAAAGTTCATATATATGTGTGTTTTTAAAATTTTGGTCTGTGTTTTCTTTCACAGCATGACTTACATGAAAATGTGTTTTGCATGACTACATATGTATAACCTATGTAAAACTGCTTGCCTTTGGGGAGGGAGGGAATTTGGAACTCAAAATTTGAAAAAAATGTTAAAAATTGTTTCTACCTGTAACTGGGGGAAAATATTTTTCAAAATATTTTAAAAATATGTTTAAAATATTTTTTGAAAGATGAGGAACCTGAAAAAAATAAAGTTCATTTGAGCATCTTTTGCACTCTTACCCCAGGGACCAGAATTCCTAGGTACAATTTTATCATCCATTCATCCTTCATCCTCTTGCTCATCCACCTTCTCTTCCTTGATACTCTGTCCTCCCTTAGCTTTTATGACTCTCTTCTCTCATGTTTTGCTTTGACAAATCCCTCTTAGCTTTCCTTCACTGGTTCCTTTCTCCTTTCAGTTCCCAATTGTGGACATCTCCAAAAGCTTTGTTTTTGACCCTCTTCTCTTCTCTTCCTCTACTCTCTCCTTTGACAAATTTGTCTACCCACATGCCTTCAGTTATCCCCTCTGTGCAAATGACTCCTAAATTTGTATATATAGCCCTTATCTATTCCCTGGGCTCCAGGCCTGCATTTCTAACTGCCTGGATACCTTTCTGGCACTTCAAACTCTATATCCAAAATTGGACTCACCATCTTTTTTCCAAAGTTAGTCTTTCCTTTTAACTTCCCTATTTCAGTGGATAATATGACCATTCTTCCAGTTATCCAGACTTAAAAGTAGAAGTAATTCTTGATTCTTCTTTCTCTCCTCTCCTATTTACCCCCTTAGTTGCCAAGTTTTGTCAATCCTATCTTCACCACATCTCTAGCATCTATCTCTTGCTTTCTAGTTCCATTGTCACCACTACTTGAGGCCCTCATCTCTCTTACTCTTAAAAGTCTCCAGGGTCAGCTAGGTGGCACAGTGGATAGAGTACTGGCCCTGGAGTCAGAAGGATCTGAGTTCAAATCCGGTCTGAGACACTTGACACTTAACTAGCTGTGACCCTGGACAAGTCACTTAACCCCATTGCCTAGCCAGAAAAGAAAAAAAAGTCTCCTAAAGGACCTCCCTGACTCTAATCTCTCCCCTCTCCAATTCATCCTTCCTACAGCTGCCAAAGCAATCCTCCTCATGTATAGATCTGACCACATCACTTCTCTGCCCAAATATTTTAGTAGCTCCCCATAGAATAAAATACAAGCTCCTTAGCCTGACATTCAAAGCCCTCTATAGTCTGCCTCTAACCAAATTGGACTAACAGCTTTTATCCTATATCGCTCTGCCCTTCATCACCCCACAATTTTGTTCACGGTAAACACATCTGGAAAAGTTTTCCCACTGCCACATATACCTGTCTTTGCACATTAATACTCTTACTGTCTTTCAAAGTTCAACTTGGGTGATGCCTTCTCCATGAAACATCCTCTGATCTCCCCAGTCAGAAGTGAACCATCCTCTTTGAATACTTCAGTCCATTCTAACTTCTCCAAAGAATCTAATCATTCTCTGACAGTTATTAGCACACATACGCTCTGTTTTATTTCATTTTTGTATCCACAGAACCTAGGACAATATTTTGCACATAGTAGGTGCATAATAAATGACTGTTCGATTGAACTAACAGAGTAAGCATTATCTGAAACTTGACAAAGTAGAACTTCCCACAAGAAGAAAAAAAAGGGGGCGGGCTTTGAACGTAAGAAAGTTACCTAAGGTGAATGCTGTTCTAATGACTGGATACCAAGGATGCCATAAACCTATTAAGAGATGATCCTCTAATCTTAGGCTTTCCAAGCCAGGCTTTAGGGAGGGTGTTAGGCTTCTCTTTGCTATCATCTCTTAAGGGGAAAACCAGTGGGAAACAAAGCTGCACTTTCAAATAAATAAGTTGGTAGGGTGAGGTTCTTTGGTTTTTTATTATTTAAAAAAAATATGTTACAAAACAATATCATTCATCTTATATTCTTGCTTATTTCCTTTTTTAAAAAATTAAAGTAATAAAAAAGTCACTTTATAAAACAATACAAAAGGGCATGAAAAGGCCTGGGAGGTGAGGATGGAAAGGGACTGAGATGGGACTTGTGGTGGAATTGAGGAATCCAGTGCTTTAGGCTCTGCCCCATGGACCAAAGGCTCTGGGAGGAAAGGGTAGGAAAGAATAACAGAGAAGTACATGATGGTGACAGAAGCAGATCCAGGAGGGGATCATGAGGATGTTGCTTCATTTGATGGGCAGCTAGTCTCCAGCCAAACTGCATTGGAAGCAATGGGAGGAAGAGTTGAGACCAGAGACCTCAGCCAGGGAAGGAAGGAGGAAGGGTGAATGGAAATGATGGGAACATTATAGGGAAAATGACTACTCCCTCCTAAAATTTTTGATAGAGAAAAAGGAAAGCCAAGTAGGGTCTGACATGAACCCTAGATTTTTGGAAAACAGAGTTCAAAGGGCTCAGAGAATAGACTGTGTAGGATCCTATGGACTAAAATTCCATAGGGGAAATCTACTCAGGAGAGATGAGACACTCTCAAGAATTTCTTAGTGACTGAAATCACAAGGGAAACAATTCCAATGAATAGAAATACATGTCGAAAGAGATCAATGTGTATATACTCTGGACTCACCAGCCAACTGAGATTTCAGAGATATGGAAGCAAGGGCAAGGGATAGAGGATGAATATAAGAACATGACACTGTCCCATAAATATAGCGTCAGGAGTGCTAAGTCTCACAATGGGCTGAGTCTAGCTCAGAAAGCAAAAGATCACCAAAAAAATAGTATTTAAAAAAACCATATTAGGAAAAAGGAAGATTAAATAGGAACTAGAATTGCTTCTTAGGTGGGGGGTATGTGTGGATGAAATAAAATAACTAGCAAGAGGAAGAAAGTAGGATTCTCTAATTCTAATTTTCTTTATGTTCTCTGACAAAGAGAATGAACTCTGAACTAATGATAACAGTAAAAATGACTAACAGAGAGTCGATGTCCAAGAGGAATAAGCAGAAAGTAAGATGTCCTTGATCAGTTGCAGTCCCATGGCCAAAATGGACTCTATCTTTGTGTCCTGAAGGGAGTACAAGTGACAGCAGAACCACTGTCAATAGTATTCGAAAGACTATGGAAAATGGGAGAAGTGTCATAGGACCAAGGAAAGGCAACTGTTATCCCAATTCAAAAAAAAAAAAGGGGTGGAAGAGAACAGTCTGCAGACTGTAGGCTAGTAAGTGTGACTTCAATTCCTGGGGAAACTCTAGAATTAAAGGAATGATCAGTGAATATCTAGAAAAGGAAACAGCAATCACAGAGAACCAGCATGGCTTCATCAAGAACACGTCATGCCACCAAATGTTATTTCTTTTTTTTTTTTTTAACAGTTACTGAAGTAGCAGGATTAAAATGCTGTGGGTATGATTTACCCAGATCTTAGTCAAGCATTTGATGAAATATCCCATGGTTTTCTTGTGGAAAAGTTGGAGAGATGTGGGTTAGGTAACAATACAATTAAATGGATGCAGAATTGAGTGGCCAGACTCAAAGAGGGGTCCTTCCTAGTTTAATGACAAAACTTAGAAGGAGGCATCCGGGAAAGTACCCCAGGGATCTGCACTTGGCCTTGTCCAATTAAATATTTTTATCTAGACAAAGTCATACTTATCAAATTTCTAGATGACACAAGGCAGGAATTTAAAGACAGCACTCTAAATGATAGGATCCAAAAAGATAGGCTAGACAGAAACCAATTGGGCGGAATCCAATAAGATTAAATTCAACAGAGATAAATGTAAAGACTTACCTTTTAGTTAAAGGAGTCAATTTCCAAAGGACAGGATTGGGCAAAAGGCATTGCTGGAAAACACTATGTTGGGGAAAGATATGGAGGTTCTGCTGGACTGCCAGCTTAAGTTGAGTCAGCAGTATGAGATGGCAGACAACAAAACTGACATAATCCTGATCTAGATTGAGAGGAATAAGGCATAAGAAGAGGAGTGGGCCTATATTCTCTGCCCTTGTCAGACCCTCTCTGGGATACTGTATTCAATGCTCGGTGACATAGTTTAGGATGCACTGAATAATGTTCAAGAGAAGGGCGATAAGGATGGTAAGAAGCCTGGAGTTCATGTTATGAGAGTTTGAGTGGAAGGACCTGGGAATCTTTAACCTGGAGAAGAGAAGACTTGGGGTGGGGTTAGGGATGAGGGAAACACATGACAGCTTCAAGTATTTGAAAGGCTGTCATACAGAAGATGGATTAGGTGTGTTCTGCTTGGCTTCAGAGGGCAGAAACAGAAGCAATGGGATGAAGTTACAAAGAGACAAATTTAGACACGAGGGAAAAAAATTTCCTAACAAAGCTATATAAAAGTGAAATTGGATGCCTCAGAAGGGGATGGATTCCCTTCCTACCCCCACTGGAGATCTTAGAGTAGGCTGGATGACCCATAGTGAGCATATTACAGTGAGGATTCTGTTAGGGGGTCATGGGTTAGGCTGGCCACTGAGGACCCTTCCAACTCGGAACATTCTGTGATTCCAAGTATCTCGAGGAAGGTAAAGAGGAGGCTTAGGGCTCTGTTGGTCCCAGTGGGACATATGTGTCTAGGTCCAAGGGGCATCGGGTACAGAGCAAGAATGTGAGCCTTATGGTGTGAGGTGAAGTGGAAGAAGGGAAGGAGGCAAAGGGTCTTCGGGGGGTCACCCTCTCCTGTGCTGGCCATGAATCATTTCCACATCCTGACTTCATTTAGCTCCCGCTGCTAAGCATCCCCAGCAGCTTGCTGGGCTCCAGCCCTTGCTGCTGGGCCATTTTCTGTACATCGAAGCCCATGTGCATGAGGAACTGGATTATGTTCATCTCTTGTCCCGTAAACTGGTCTCGGATGGTGGGACACGAGGGGTTGCAGTGGGGCCAGGGGCAGTTGTCAATGAGGTGGACAGGACAGCCCTTCAAGGGGGGGGCTTTGCCATTTTTGTTGCTCTCGTGAAGACTTCGGTCCCAGCAGTGAAGTGCTCGAGGCAGTGAGGTGCCCTTCACCTGAATGTCCGTCCAGTGGCTGCAAAGATGGAGGCACAGGTAAGCGGGGGAGGAGGCAGAAGAAAGCTGGGTGAGGAGAAGAGGCAAAGGGAAGCCTACAGGTTGAGGCCTCACACGAATTGAATTATTGTGTTGAGACACTTACTTTCGGATGATGATCTCATGGGACAGGCAGGCAGGGGCAAAGCTAGCCCTGTGTTGGGGAAGGGAGATATGATCAGTGATTATCAGTCACCACTGGTGCTGACTTCAACCCCCTTCTCACTACAATGTACCCAGATGTCCATTCTATGATCCATGCTCTTCAACCTGTCTCTCATGCCCTTGCACCAGCTCTTTGCCCCCTACATGTAGAATCGCAGATTTAGGGCTGGAAGGTACTTTGCAAGTAACCTAGTCCAATGCCCCCATTTTACAGATAAGGAAATAGAGGTGAAATGACTTGCCCAGGTTCACACAGCTAACAATCCATAGACCTGAGATTTGAACTTGGGTACTCTGACCCCAAATCCAGTGCGCTTTATGTTACACCACAATGTCACCAACTTCATTTTCTGCTGCTTTTCTACATAGATCTTTCTAGTTAGAGGCTGCTAGGTGGTACAGTGGATAGAGCACTGGGCCTTGGAGTCAGGAGGAGCTAAGTTCAAAGTCAGTCTCAGATATTTACTATCTGTGTGATCCTGGGCAAGTCACTTAACCTTTGTCTGCCTCCGTTACCTCAACTGTAAAATAGGGATGATAACAGCAACTACCTCCTAGGATTTTGTGAGAATCAAACAAGGTAATATTTGTAAAGTGTTCAGCACAATGGAGTAGCTGAATGGCACAATGGATAGAGCATAGGCCCCGAGTTCAAATCCTGGGCAAGTCACTTAACCCAGATTGCCTCCAAAAAAGTGTTTAGCAGAATGCCTGGCACATAGTAGACACTTAATAAATTCTTATTGCCTTCCATTCATATGAATCTGCTTACTGACCTCCACATGTGAACTTTGTTTTTCTTACATCAATGCTTTTGCACATGCTGTTCCCCATAAAAGGAGTATCTTTCCTCTCCTTTTTTCTCTAGTCCAGTGCTCTTTACCACTTTCAAATTTCGGTTCAAAATCTATTTCCTCTTGAAAGCCCTACCTGACTTACCATACCTAACCTCATTCCTCTACTGTGGACCTTGCTCAGCCCTTCTATAGGCACTCACTAAGTATTATTCTCCTATCTTCTCATTCGATTGTCTTTTAAAGAGTTTTCATAATCTAATAGATTGTGGGTTACTCAAAGACAGGAATTGTTTTGTTTTTGTCTGTTTTCCAACACAATGCTTTGTATACAATAGGTATTTAATAAATCTTTGTTGAACCTGATGAATTGAGCTGGGTACACATGATGGGAAATAATAATAAAACTAACATTTATACAGTGCTTACTAGGTACCAGGAACTCTGCTAAGAAATTTTTTTGGAGGGGGGGCTAGGCAATAGGGTTAAGTGACTTGCCCAGGGTCACACAGCTAGTAAGTGTTAAGTATCTGAGGCCGGCTGACACTCTATCCACTGAGCCACCTAGCTGTCCCTAAGAGTTTTCACAAATATTACCTCATTTGACCTTCACAACCCCAGAGAGGTTCAATTGTTGTTGGGGCAGCTAGGTGGCGCTATAGTGCACACAGTGCCAGGACTGGAGTCAGGAGTCTTCCTGAGTTCAAATATGGCCTCAGACACTGTGTGTCTGTCACTGTGTGACCTTAGGCAAGTCACGTAACTCTGCCTCAGTTTCCTCTTCTGTAAAATGAGCTGGAGAAGGAAATAGCAAACCAATTCTGTATCTCTGCCAAGAAAACTCCAAATGGGGTCGTGAAGAGTTGGACATGACTAAAAATGACTAAACAATATAAAATCTTATTTGATCTTCACAACAACCCTGTTGCTAATAAAATCCCCATTTTACAGTTGAGGAAACTGAGACAAACAAAGGTCAAGTGATTTACCCAGGGTTATAGAGCTAAGAAACATCTGAGGCTGGATTTAACCTCAGTTCTTTCCTGACTCTAGGCCCGGCACTCTATCTGGATGATTGATTCTGAGAGACTTTCCTAACCAGGGTACTCAGCACAAGGGTTTTCATACAGGGAGCACTAGAAGTAGTGGGTGATGATTGGCTCTCACCTGCCTCCACCCCTCTTTCTCAATTTAGGGCAAATATTTAATGTCCCTGAAGGTTCTTGCTTTCTCTGCTTGGCCACTCAGGAATTCAATGGTGGAGGATCTGGGCGTGGTGTCTAGCATACTGGGGTCGGCTACCCATATGTCCTTCTTGGTCCTGTCCCTCCCGTGTGTGCCCTCCCCCTACGCTGAAGACACTCACGACACATCCTTGAGTGTGTTCCGAAGCTCCCGGCCAAGGTTCTGGATATAGAGCCATTGCCCTTCCTGCACAGGCTGCCCGGTCAGATGCACATTGTCCACAGTCAGTTGGGCTTCATCAAACAGCCACTGTACCACGAACACAGGGCCTAGGACAGGGACATAGATTGGCTCAGAGTACAATCTACCTTGCCCCTCCTCCCCCCAAGATCCGCTCCTGCTTTTTCTCAGGGGCAACTCCAGGTATTCCCTCATATCCCTGACTAACCTTCTAACCTAGTATTAGGGGTGGGCAGTATTCATCGTCCTCTACCTACAACTCAAATTATTCCCATCTTTGGGACCATGCTCTAGCTCCACACCCTTCTCTTGGAAGGTCTTCCCAACTTTTTTCAGAAAAGGTTCATCTTCTCCTTGCTTCGAAATCTGACCATGAAGACTAATCTTCTCAGGAAGTTTACCCCGTTTCAATCACTCCTTTATCCTGCATTCCGACTCCATCCCACCCTCCCCATTTATTTGTACACAAATTCAATTTTCCCTTGTTTTAGGCTACAGAACCCTAGAACCATAGAATATCTGAACTAGAAGGGATCTAATGCGATCCCTTTATTTGACAGATGAGGAAACAGAGGCAAAGACAAGGAAAGTGATTTCCAAGGTCACACAGCTAGTTAAGTGGTAGAACTGAGACTTAAAACCAAGGCTCAGGACTCTAAATTCAAGAGTCCTTTCCATTCTACCACAATGCCTCTCTTACAACATAACACAGAACATTAGCGCTGAAAGGAAACTTAAAGAATTAGTGGCTTAATCCCAGGGGGGTGTTGGAATCAGCTCTAACTGGCTTGTTGGAGCCGACTGTTAAATTTTCAGTGCGAGTCTTGGAAACAGGCAATCACTACAAATCAGGCACTGTGTGGCTTGAGCTCAGCCCAAGTGCAGTAGAAGCTCTGGGAATAAGGTCACCACCAGGCTGGAGGCTAATAATAATAACAATAATAATTGGCATTTATATAGTGCTTTAAGGTTTGCAAAGTGCTTCACATTGATTATCTCATTTGAGCCTCATACTACCCCTTGCTTAAGTTCCAATTCCTTCTAAAAAACATCCTCAGTAGTTGTCATTCAGCCCTTGCTTAAACACCTCCATCCACTGGGGGCTGATGGACAGCTCCAGGTGCTGGCAATTTCTTGGTTCTTTGGAAGTATGCATGAAATCCTTTGAGGCATACCGGCCTCCTTAACCAAACAGTTCACATCCTATCTCAGATACTTCCTGGCTTGGCTGTGTGACCCTGGGCAATTGACAAATCCTCTGAGCTTTAGTTTCCTTATGTGAGACATGGGAACACTAATGCTCATAGTACTTACCTTGCAGGGTTATGGGGAGCTTTAAATGATAATGTGTACAAAAGTGCTTTATAAATTTTAAAGTACTATGTATATGTCAATTATTGATAGTGATCAAAAACAAAAACAATAATAATAAACTTTCTAAGGCTATAAATTGAAGGAGAAGGTACAGATCTGCATTGGGTTCCTCATTTGGAGCTCCCTACAGCAATCAAATCATATGTTCCATTTTTTTTTAAAAAAAGGATAAAAATGAGTGTGGGAACAGCTACATGGCACAGTGGATAGAGCACTGGCCCTGGAGTCAGCAGGACCTGAGCTGAAACCTGGCCTCAGACACTTATTAGCTGTGTGACCCTGGGCAAGCTACTTAACCCCAATTGCCTCCACATACAGAAAAAGTATGGCATTGTGGATAGAAAGCTGGTCTTAGAATCATCAGGAAGATATAGGTTCAAGTCCTGCCTCTGACAAATACTTGCTGTGTGACCAAGGAGGATAAGTCACTTAACCTCTTTGATAACTGTCCAAGTTATAGATGAGTTGCCTAGCTGCATCAAGGGAAGGAGTTTTCACTCTGAGCATTCCTTCTACACCAAGGAAATTACAGGCCCAGATTAAAACAAAACAAAACAATCCAGGAGCAGCTAGGTGGCGTAGTGAATAGAGCACTGGCCCTGGAGTCAGGAGGACCTGAATTCAAATCTGGCCTCAGACACAGAATACTCACTAGTTGTGTGACTCTGGGCAAGTCACTTAACCCCAATTGCCTCACCAAAAAAAAAACCCCCAAAAACAAACAAACACAAAATAATCCCCATGCACCAAAGAAACAAAACAAAATCTAGACTGTCAGCTCCCTGAGTGTAGGAACCAAGTCTTTTCCTTCCTCTGTATCCCTTAGACAACATACACAGTGAGTACTGACTCTCACTGACTATGAGCCCCACTCCACATTCCCATAACTTGATCTCTCAACTGCTTACTTCTACTCTGAATTTTCAGGGGGAGTAAATGGGGACTTTGGGGTCTTTTGCCATCATGCCTCCTCCTAAGCCCCAAGCTCCCACCCCTACTCACAGCGCAGGGTAGGGTAGATTTTGTATCCGAAGAAGCAGTTCCACTCCTCGCCTTCCTTGAACTGTAGTCGGCAGCGCTCGGGGACGACCCCATTCCAGTACCTGGAAGGTCAGGAGCTTTGGAATTAGGCCAGCTCCTGAGAACCTCTTCCAATATCTCAACTATGGGATGGGGGAAGGAGGATCCCACATAGGGTGACAGGTAGGTACTGTTCCCTCTAGTCAATTCTGGACTCATGCCACCATGACTGGAAGTGATAGATCCACCATTTCATAGGCACTCACCTCCCATCACTGGGGCCATGGGCCTGACCCATTGGCCTCTCCCAAACCCAAAGAACTCAACTGTTGGAATTTGTACCTAATTCAGCCTTTAGTACCACTAAGAGTCTCCCTCTAGGCTCTCATCCCTGACCTAGACTGGAAATGCAAGGCATTCCCAACTCCTAGTCCTGATTTGGGGTGTCATCCTTCAAGCCCCAGCCACACCATGGGCTACATGGGTTCTCAATATTGGGGAACAGGAGATCAAGGGGCAGTAATGTCTGAAGCTAAGGAAGGGGAAGGCATCTGGGCACCTGCAGCAGGATGTCAATAACTTGGGGAGGAGAGGTGGAGGGCAGAGGAGACTGTCACCTGATCCCTCGTCGGATGGCTTCCGTGGGTGCACAGGTGATGGTGTCAATGCAGTCTGTTCGGCGATACTGCCTGTTGTCCAGGAACCAACCAGAGTCAGCCAGGCCCCGAACTTGGATGGCTGAATAGCCCAACTCCTCTAACTGCTCTGCAACCCGGTCCACATTCAGAAGAACCCCAGTCCCCCCAGCACTGTGAGTGAGGGAGAAGACACATGGGTAGCTGATACAGCCAAGCAGATAAGCAGGGTCATTTCTAAAAAGGTCACTTAGCCCTGGGGTCATTGTACATTTTGATGTCATTTATTTTAATAGAGCCATTAGAAAAGGCCCTGAATTTGGCAATGGTAGTTGTAGAATTGAATCCTGAATGGATCTGCTACTCACTACCCATGTGAATTGGGACACATTACTTCCTATCACTGAGCCTGTTTCCTCTCTGCAAAATGATAGGATTGGACAAACGTCTCCAAGAAGAGATATGAGAAGATGCCACCTCCCTCATTCCTTGGCAGAAGTAGGAGAGCCATAGGTATTGCACACATTTTCAGACTTTTAAGATGTACTGATCAGTTTTACTGATTTTTTTCTCTTCTTTTTCTTTTAAAAATATTGTTATATAAGATGGCTCTTGGAGGGGGGGAGGAATTATGGTAAATTTCTGGGAGAAATTCTGATAAAGTAAAAAAAATCAGGTTAGTCCAACAAGCATTTATTAAGTGTCTACTACAATGCCAGGCACTGTGCTAAGCACTGAGAATACAAATACAAAAACAAAACAAAACCAAAACCACAACCCAACAACAAATATATCAATCAAATTAATTTTTAAAAAATAATAGGAATAGACTAGATGATTTCTATGGTCCCTTTCAACTCTAAATTCAATGATTTTATGATCTCTCTGTCTCCCTCTCTCTGTTTCTCTTCCTCTCTCTCTCTTCGCTCCTTCTATCCCATACTCTCTCAGCTTGTATTCATGTTTAGTATTATGCTTCTTCCCTGAAGTAAGGCAGTGTGGGACAGTGGAAAGAGGACCATCCTGGGAATGGAGAGACCTGGATTCTACTCTTAGCTCTCTGTCACTAGCAGTATCCCTTCTTCTGAGCCCGCTTTCTCATTTGTAAAATCAGGGAGTTGAATTAGGTGATCTCTAAAGTCCTGTGAAAATCTTGCAGGTCAAGTGCCAGGAGCAAGACCTCACCATTTTCAAGGGCACACATATTCCTAAAACTAGAGTTCACAAACTGTGTTTCACTAGAGGTCCACAAACCTAAAAATATAGGTCACTAATCCCAACTAGTGTGCTTACCTAGAATAGTTAGCCAATTGGCCCAAAAAAACTCAAAACAGAGGCTTTTACTGGGCTAGCATCAAAAGAATAGTAGTAACAAATATAATAAATGTAACATGTACCTTTCAAAAAAAAAAGTCCTGTGAAGCAAAATATTTGAGCTTTGGCCACACAGGGTCCTTCCTCTTACCTCACCTCAGTCCTTTGTTCTGTACGCCATCCCACTCCCAGTTTAATGCAATGCCTGGGATGGTTAACAGCTTTCTTCAGTCATTTCCCCTACGTTCTATATATTCTGTCCCCTTCCCTATGTTAGCCTCATGCTCCTCTCCCTGGTACTCACCTGCTTCCAGCCAGCAGCAGTACCTTGGCACTGGTCAACCCTTTGCCCAGGAGCTCTCGAACCACCTCCTGGATAATAAGGGCCCCCATGAAAGCATATTCATCTGTAAATCAAAGGATGTGTCTCTGCTTTAGGAAAGCATTATTACTTATTGGACAGGGAGAAAATAGGATCTTTCCCATGTCTCCCCTGCCCTACCCCAATGAAGGGCCTGGGCTTCATCCATTAAAGTTTGGCTATCCCTCACTTGGAAAACTGGGTTCTTTGGAAATTTCAAGTCTGAGTAGGCAAGGCCATACTAAGATTCCCATATCTTGAAGACAAAACCATGTCTATTCACTAGGGAGAACTGTGCCCCACAAAAAACAGGACCTCTGATGTAAGCCCCTTGCCTAAACGAGGAAGATGGTATTAGGGACAAATACCCAGGGGGATATTTAAGTAGATTTAGGACTAAGGAAATCAGGGCTGGGTTAGAATAACCATGGGTCTCCCTATGACCATGAAGGGAAAGAGAGAAAAAAAGGAGAGAAGAAGGAAAGGGACAGAAGGGGAAGAAAACTCACTGGTTTCAGACTTGGAGGAGGCTCCACTCCAGACATCACTGGAGCAATAGGGGATGAAGCTGCCAAAGACAAAGTTGGTAAGACTGGCAAAAAGTAGTATTTCCCTATTTCAAGCTGACACCTCCCCTGGGAAGCTCAAATTCTGTTTTTCTGTTGGGCATGTGTTGAAAATTTCTCAGTGCTGTGACTCCACCCCATCTCTCTCAGGGAATAATCCCTACCCCCCATACTTATTCCTTACACCATGTTGGCATTCCACCAATGGGGATTCTCCTCTGGTTGAGATGAGAGGATACCGGTACCTAGATGGGAAGGGAAAAAAAACAGTGAGACTTTTAGTCAAGCTTGAAGATCTTGATAGAAGGTGTGGAGATATATTGGCATAGGGAGAGGTCAATTTGGGCCCTAAGGATAGTGAGGTGTTAGAACAGGTGGTACCTCTAGCCTAAGACAAACACTAACTGTGTCAGGATGAGAAAACAGAAAGTCAAATCACTTTGTGTCTTTGCTTCATTATCATTATCAAAGGGTGTTTGGTAATCTTGTAAAAGTTTAGGAAATACGGGAGGTTAGGAATAATGGGAAAGGACTTTGCAGATAGAGAATGCTTCTCTGAGGATCTAAGGAGAAGCCCTTTTAGGAAGACTAGTTTAAGAAGTTGATGATTGGAGGGGGGGGCGTGTATCTAGGTGGTGCAGTGGCTAGAGCTCTGGCCTTGGAATCAGGAGGACCTGAGTTCAAATATGACCTCAGACACTTGATGTTAGCTGTGTGACCGTGAGCAAATCACTTAACTTCGATTGCCAAAACAAAACAAAAAAAAGTTAATGATGACAGTACTTCTCATTTCTTTAGGGCAAAGACCTCAAAATGTTAGGTGCTTCCCTTTCACAGCTGCAAAAATTGAGGCATTGACAGAGTCATAGCAAGTCAGCAATAGAATTGAAACCAGTCAATTCTCTTGCTTCTCTATATGCTACCCCTGGGAGAAGCCATGGAGTCAGGGTTAGACAGTGGGGAGTCACCTAGTACCAACCCTTCTTCAGGGAGAGAGGAGAGGGAAGAGACAGGCAATGGAACTGAGGTTTGGATAGGGAATAGGAGAACAGGGTAGGGGTCCAGAGTCCAAGGAGAATAGTGGGAGGGAAGATGGAGGAGAGGCCACATCAAAAGGAGGGTAAAGGAAAAGGCAGCCATGCAAAATGAAAGGGGGTGTATGTGACTGCTGACCTGTGCGAGTTCTTGGCCAGTCTTTGGAGCTCATAAGACGCCTCATGGTGTCATAGCGAGAATCGCAGTTTTCCCGGTTAAAGCAATACCAGCCGCCTGCCAGGTCAGACACATATTCAATACCCTGTGGTTTGGGCCAGCCACCCATCCCTCCTTCAACAGGTCCCTCTCTCACTCTCATTCTTCACCCTCTTTGGATTCCCCAGTTCCTAGAGCCTTTTCTTCCTCTCTTTTCCTACCCTCTTCCTCCCACCCCCACCTCCACCCCAAGACCCACCTTCCAAAAAGAGCAACCAGCGCCGGCTGCCCTTAGACTCCTTGAGGTAGTAGCTGTAAAAGAAATAGGGTTGGTAGGTCAACTAGGTCTTCCCTGACCCTCTATAGCCCTGGGATGCCAGGTAAGAAAGGGTTATTCCACCTGTCACTAAGGGAGGGCAGTCTTGTGCCACACGGGGGCGCAAGAGACTAGGTAAACCTGTAGCCAAGCTGAAGTTTAAAACCTTTGAGAAGAGCAAGGATTTGGAAAGGACAGAAACAGGTCTCCTGGGGCTAGTCTTAGGGAAGAAGTTAGGGCAGGTCCAGGTTCCTTACACCCTGGAGGGCCGAGGCAGCTCAAAGGAAGGGTTGTCGAGGGAAGACAAAAGGGTGTTACTGTTCTAATGAAAAGAACCCTTAAGAAGCAATACAAAACTTTTGTTCCCATGCCAGCTCTGAAACAAACTACCTTTGTGACCTTGGGCAATTCGTTTGACCTCTATGGTCTCGTTTCTTAGCTATAAAATAAAGAAGATAATACCTTGCTCTTCATGGCCTACACTTGTGATGGAAACTTGAGAATATGCTAAAAAGTTTCGTTCCACATTGTAGCGTTGTCACTAGGGGAAGGAAGTAATGGGCACATGCTCCATTAACCTCCATCTACCCTAGAGTAAAAACTGAAGAAGGGAAAAGACAGTGGCGTGAGTATTCCAGCCAGTCAGAGGTGTAGTTAGGAAGGACAAACATAGTGCCAAGAGAAGAAAAGTTGGGGAAGGTAGAACAGAAAAGAATGAAGGAGAAGAGTAGGAAAGAGAACTAGAGTAGGAAATCCTGGTTGAATTTTGCTCACTGACCTCATCACCACCCTCTTCCTCATGGCTGCTTGTCTGCTGTGTCCCATGCTGTTGCCGTGTGTATGTCCAGTCTTTTCTCTTCCCTTCCACCCCTACCCCCATTAACCAGGGATCTCTGCCAGGGCAATGACAGTATCTCCTCCTCCTCCTTACCTCCAGTCCCCAAGGCTGTGCACTTCATGGATATTCAGTTCATGGAGTTGATAGACATTTGGTAAGCAGCTGTTGATCATGACTGTCACTAATTTGCTGCATAATCTTCAGCAAGTTACTTTACCTTTGAGCCTCATTTTCTGGCTCTCAATATTCACAGATTCCTGTCCTAGTTTACCTTCATTCTCCTCTAGGTACTAGTAATGGCATCTCCCTTTCTTCCCCTGCCCCCAAATACACACAGTTATGCTCTCTCACCCTAGAGGGAGAAATAATATCCCTAATGTCAGTTACACAGTGTTAGAAAGTATTGGAATCTCTGGACTCCAATTTACACTATGACGGGCATTGGGGATACAGACAATGGGTCCACTTCTTTTTCTGGGTATTCATTAGCCAAGCCAGGTGGACTAATGAATTAGTCTTCAGAAAAAGGGGTGCTCCTGTGGCTGATTTTCTTCTCTATAGTACCCTCATTTCTTCATATGGAAAGGGAACTGAATGTATTCCTAAAGTATCTTGGCACCCTTTCTTGGAAGCAACTGACTTTCTTGTAGGGAAACTGAGTGATTATTTCTCTTCTCTCATTAATCTTTTTCCCCCCCATGTATTGGAGAAGGCAAAGGAGAAGGAGTAGATTCAGGAGTTCTAATACTTTAACATCCCGGGCTCCTTGTGCTAAAGTGGACTTTGAGGCTTCAAAGTCTAGGGTCTTTCCCTAAGTATCATAAGCTGGGGAAAGTCTGACGGATTCTTTTTACCTGGAGTCTTCTCCAGGAAAAGGGATGGAATTAGGACCAGAGAGGGGAGGACTCCCCCTCACTTTCTCCCCCCTCTTTCTTGGGGGTAAAAACTCCAGGGTCTCTAAAGGAAGAGCAGAGCAAAGTCTTCTGCTACTACAAAATGGATTGGGGGGTGGGTGGAGGGAAGAGGAGGATGTATGGGGGGGTGGAGTGGGGGCAGAGACTACGGTGTGGGATGGGCCGAGATCCTGCTTCTGTTCTCTCGTCGTTTCCTTTGGAGAAAGAAGGCTGAGACCGAGAGGGGAGAGAAGGCTGAAACCGCGTCCACCTGCCGCTGAAAAGAGTGGAGTTGGGAGAGATCTGCAAACTGGGGAGAGGTGAATGTGCTCGAGACCTGAAGGGCCTGGAGTGACCGGGATCGTGGAACTAGGGGGTGGGGGAAGAGGAGAAAGAGAGGGGGTCCAAGCTCTGGAGTCACTTACCCCGCGGGGCTGCCGTCATTACAGGTCACCGAGGTGTTGAGCAGGAGGTGAAGCCGCAAATCCTCATCCAGCTTTTGAGCGGAACAGGGATACAGGGACTGCGCCAGACTCTTGATCTGAGACATGAAGCTGTCCATGTTGCCCTCCACAGCCGTGAAGTCCAGTGGGAAGCTCTCCACTGGCTGCCCTGCCACCTCGCCCAGCTCACGGCCAGGAAGCGCCTGGGGTTGGGGCTGAGGCTGAGACTGAGGCTGAGACGGAGGCGGCTGCGGCTGCTGCTGCTGTTGCTGCTGCTGCTGACCACGCCGTCTCCAGGTTTTCCTTCCCTCGCTGCCGGGGCCCCAGTGCAATAAGCCCAGGAGCAGCAGCACTCGCACCGCTCTTTGGCCCATGCCAGCGTTGGTCCTGTCTTTTCGGGGCCACCTGCAGGGGAAGCGGATCAGCGGGTGAGCCCCAGCGGACTTTGAAACCCAAACTGGGGCGCCGCAGGGTCGGTAGTAGTCCCACTGCCCTGGACTGGGCTCTGGGCTCCAGCCGGATCCCCGCTCTTCCGAAGAGACTGTCCTTCCCGGGGTGCCCAGACACTGCGCCCCACCGTATCTCTGGTGGGATCCGGACGCTGCGCGGGGCTGCTAGGCGTCGAAGCGTTCTCCGTGACCCCGGGGCCCGGTCCCCTCGCCCCCAGCTGGGTCTGAGCACAGAGTAGCCTCTACTTGGGCTAGGCTGGGTTGGGCTGGGCTGGGCTGGGCTAGGCTATCCCAGGCAGATGCTTACTCTGTCCCCGCACCCTGCTCCCCGCGCCCTGCTCCCAGCTCCGCGTCTAGAGGAGGGCAGTTCTGGGTCTGGGTGCTTTGGCTCGGTCCCGCTCCAATGAGCGGCGGGGGCAGAGCCTGGGCGTAGTTTTGCGGGGCCCGCGGCTGTCCCGGTGCCCACGCGTTAGATGTGCAGCCACCGCCTCCCCGGCCTTCACGGAGCTCAGGGGCGGGGGTGTGGGGGGTGTGTGTCTGGGGTGGGGGTGGCGGGGGAGGCGGTGATCTCGCTTTTTTCTAGGCGGAGGCATCGTCTTTTCTTCCCAAACCGCAAACATGACAGAGGGGGCCTGGATTACCCCGCCGTGACCGCCGGAGGCGCTCCCGGCCCCGGCTTGGTGTGGGGCAGCGCGGCTGTGGCTCCCAGCGCTGCCACAGCGGCTCCCATTAAGGGAAAGCCAGCCAGGCGCCTTTTCCCTTCCCCGCCCCCCTCCCCACGGGGGGCGGGGGAAGAAGTAAGGAGGGGATTGTTTTTACGGGAAGGTGGGGGGAGTCACCTGCGGAAAGGAAATTAACTCCCTCCCTCCACCTCCACCCTCCTGAGCAGCTAAAAGCTGGCGGTAAAAAACATCGCCCAGGGCGGAACAAAACTTGGAGACTGGAGATCGCTGGGGCTCCATCCCAGTTCATTCCTCTCACCTCAAGTTTGGAGAGCGGTCCCTAAAAGGTTGAGGGAGGGCACAGCTGGAGAGCGCACCTGGAGCAACAGGACAATGACATCCCTGGAACCCTCTAATCTCCCCCAGGCCCCCCCCCACTTCTGCCCGCCTGCCCAAAGCGCAGCTCGGGCAGCACCTGGGGGCGCTGGCATTTTCAGAGCGCCAGCAACATCTGGAGGGAGGGGTGATTCGCTGCTTTAGCTCTCGGGTCTTCTAGGCTTGAAGATTCCGCAGAGAGCTGTGCTCCCCAAGGTTGCGGACCCTCGTCCCCTCCCCCATTTGCCTATCAGGATTTGGGATTCGGCTCCTAGGACTGTCTCCTGGACACCCCCGCCCATCCACCCTGGGCATGATACAAGTCCCTAGCTCCTGGCTTACGGGAGCCCCGAGCTCACCGCTGGCTATACCCTGCACGGAGTTGCCCTGCTGTTGGGGCTCCCAGTCCACTGGCTTTTTCCTTCCCTCCCTCTCCCTCCTACCTCCCCCCCCTCTCGGCTCCGCTCTCCCCTCTGGCGCTGGCGGACAGCAGCCGGGGACTTTTATCTAGCCAGGGCCCCCGGATCAAAGCGACGGCTGCCACGGGTTTCTCTGAGTCTTGGGGGTGGGGGGAGTAATAGGCATCCGAGCCAGGATAGAGGGTGGGAGGGGGAGAGAATGGACAGGTGTGACCCGGAGCAAGAGTGCTGGAGCAGTTGGGGGTGGGGGGGGAAGGCTCCCTCAGGTCACGCAGGAACAGATACCTCCCCTAATCCCGATGAGAGCAAGCCAGGATCTGCCTGAGCTGAATCTTGGCAAAGGTTTTTTGGGGGAAACCGTGTTGGAAAACCCTAACGCCAATGATATAAAGAACTATTTGATACTACTTCTCAGTGCCCTCTGAATGACCTTTCATCCTGTCTTGATTGACTGAGGAATTTTCCTCCCCAGCCCCACAGTCCTCAGAATTCAATGCCACAGGATCAAAAATTTATAATTGGGAAGGAATCTTAGAGGCCATCTAGTCCAACCATTTCATTTTCCAGATAAGGTAAACTGAGGTCCGGGAAGGTTGAGTGATTTGTCCAAAGCCACTCCGTTAATAAATGGCAGATCTAAAATTAGAAGCCAGATCCTCTGACCCCAAATACTGTGCTCTTTCCACAAGGTCACACAAGGTAGATTGCACGTGGCAAAGCTGGGCTTTCATCTGACCTCTGACTCTGGGACAACGCAATGGAAAGAAAGCTGGGCTGGAAGCCGGGAGCCCTGTTACCAACTCTACGTGACCTTAGCCAAGCTCTTTCTCCTCCTTTTAAGTAAAATGGGGACTTGGGGATAGCTGTTCCCTAAGGGACCCCACTCCACTCCCTCCAGCTCTAACATTTAGCCATTTATTGCATACATAGCATGCCTACTGGCAGCTAGGTGGCACAGGTGGATTGAGTACTGGGCCTGGACTCAGGAAGTCCTGAGTTCAAATCCAACTTCAGACACAAACTCGCACTGGGACCTTGGGCAAGTCACTTAACCATTACTGTTTGCCTCAGTTTCCTCATCTGTAAAATGAGCTGGAGAAGAAAATGGCAAACACTCCAGTATCTTCAGAGAAGATACTGGCATCACCAAGAGTTAGACAAGATTGAACTGCACACATAGGAGAAGTTGACAGTAATGGAGACATTATTACTTTCTTCCCCAACTCTCCTGGCACTGGAGCACATGTAATCCTAGGAACCAGTTACATTAAGTGTTTAATAGTTTAGGTTGGGTAATCACTGGTCCTTTAACTTACTCAGTATAACATTTAAAACATTTTTTGTACTTTTTTTTGCATCACTTCCATTTACAAAATATCCCTTCCCCCTACTCCATTCAAAATGCCCTCTCTTATAACAAATAATTAAAAAAAGAAAGAGAGGGGAAAAGGATCTTAGCAAAGCTAAGTTCTTAGAGGGTAAAAGCATTTTTAGCATGAACTGAGTCTAACAGTGTATGCAGTATTCTACACCCATAGTCTCTAACCTTTTATCAAATGAGATTACATGTAAAGCGCTTTGCAAACCTTAAAGCACTATACAAATGCTAGCTATTATTATTAGCTATTGTTAAGGAAGAGGTACATTTTCATGTCCATAAATCTGGTCATTATAATGACACAAAAACTCAGTTTCTATTTTCTTTGTTATTGGTCTTCCCATTTGCGTTGTTCTGTCATATTCGACTCTTCATGACCCCATTTGGGGTTTTCTTGGCAAAGATACTGGAGTGGTTGACCATTTCCTCATTTTTACAGATGAGGAAACTGAGGCAAACAGGGTGAAGTGACTTGCCCAGGGTCACACAGCTAGTAAGTGTCTGAGGCTGGATTTGAACTCAAATCTTTCTGATTCTAGGCCCAGTGCTCTACCCACTGGGCTACCTAATTGCCCTACATTGTTTATTATATTATATTATATTATATTATTACAGTTATTGGGCATATTGTTTTCCTGGTTCTGCTTACTTTGAATTACTTCACTTCAGCCTTCTCAAAATTTTCTGTATTCTTCATATTCATTGCTTCTTACAGTAAAATAACATTTTGTTACATTTATGTACCGCAATTTGCTCAGCCATTTTTCAGTCAATGGCCATCTACTTTGTTTCCAGTTTCTTGCAAAAAGTACTACTATAAATATTTCAAAGTATATGGTAACTTTTTTCCTATTTTGATTTCCGAGATATATACCTAGCAGTAGAATCTCTGGGTCACTGGGTATAGCATGTTAACCGCTTGCTTATGTAAGGGCATCTCCTTTGTAGACTTCAGCAAAGTTTTTTTTTTTAAATGGTAATTTTTATTTATTTTTTTGTTTGCAACATTTACTTCCACGAGATTTTGAGTTCCAAATTTTCACCCCATCTCGCCCCTCCCCGTCCCCCAAGATGGCATGCATTCTAAATACCCCTTCCCTTAGTCTGCCTTCCCTTCTATCTCTCCCCTCCTTCTCTTATACCCTTCCCCTTCAATTTTCCTGTAGGGCAGCATGGATTTCTGTACCCCATTTCCTGTATTTCTTATTTCCCAGTTGCATGTGAAAACATTTTTTTAAAACGTGCTTTTTTTAAACTTTGGGTTCCAAATTTTCTCCCTTCCTCCCTCCCCACCCACCCTCATTGATAAGGCAAGCAACTAAATATAGGTTATATATGTGCAGTTATGCAAAACACTTCCATAGTAGACATGCTGTGAAAAACTAACTGTATTTCCCTTAATCCTATCCCACCCCCCATTTATTCTATTCTTTCTTTTGACCCTGTCCCTCCTCAGAAGTATTTGCTTCTGATTACTGCCTTTCCCAATCTGCCCTCCTCTCTATCATCCCCCTACTCTCTTGTCTCCTTCTCCCCCTATTTTCCTGTAGGGTAAAACAGATTTCCACACCCAACTGAGTATGTATGTTATTCCCTCCTTAAGTCAAAACCTATGAGAATAAGATTCACTCCTTTCCTCTCACCTTCCCCCGGTTTCCCTCCACTGTAAGAGCCTTATCTTTTCTGTTTTTTTGTGAGATAATTTATCCCGTTCTACCTTTCCCTTTCTCCTTCTCCTAGTATAATCCTCTCTCACACCTTAATTTTATTCTCCAGCTATGACCCCTTCATCTTCAACTCACCCTGTGCCCTCTATCTATCTATCCATCTATCTATCTATCTATCTATCTATCTATCTATCTATCTATCTATCTAT